AGCCTGCACATAATTAAAGGAAGGGTCAATATACCTGTGCCTTAACCTCGATCCTAGCCCCGACATAAGCCTGGATCGCAGCCTTTATTTTAGCCCTAACTCTAGAGCTAACACTTATCCTAAACTTGACTTTAAAGTTAGCTTTAACTTCCCCAGAATTCTACGCGGATCAATCGGGCGGCTCGTGCTTTCATGTCCAGTTTAAGGGTTATGGATAACATCCTTACAAAAATGCAGTAGTCTATGCGAGAGAATGAAAGACGAACGCATTTTAAAATTAGTAAAAGGGATATGCGTAAGTCCAACTCCTGTCCCCGGATCTGGATATTCGAATTCGCACCAGATGTTTCGAGCAAACTCCCAAAAAATGTGCTACCAAGGAGTTAGTTTTCAATCCATTTCAAATCCCCATGCTGAAACTGGAAAATCCAGCTTCGTATACTGGTAGAGATGGAAGTTGAAGTAGACAGGACCCACCAACTCTGCATGCGCCCAATGGAGACTTAAGTCAACATTCAAAATGCATCAGTGGCCAAGAGAGGTAAGTCAACCTACCATTGAGCACTTTTCCATAGGGGAATTGACGGCCACCAGGGTGTCCCCGGAGGAGCAGTCGACACCGAAGAGGGCCGCAATGTCACCCGCGTAGACCGCCTCCAGGTCCTCGAAGGTGTCCACGTTCATGCGACCGAGCCGAGGAACACGCAGGCGTCTGCCTGTACGCGTGTTCTTCAGACTATCACCGCGCTTCAGACAGCCCTGGTAGACACGGGTGTAGGTCAGCTGACCGTAGCGGCTGGCCTAGAAAACAAAGCACAGGACAAAAAGGTAAGAGACATATATTAAATTGTTTGGCCGGCGACTTGCGCTGCAATAGCTCAGAAATATAATACCTCCTGGCAAATCCCTACGCTAGCGATCCTACCCGTCTTTTAAAATACGTCGTTATCTTCGTCTGAGCAATGTTTGGAATTCTCCACGTCCATTTCCAGTGAAATTCTATCAGACCTACATGCGATGGTTCCCTTGAGACTCTTGACCCATTTCCACTCGAATACACACGCGGATCCTGAACAGTCACGGCTGCAAAAGAACCATTTGAACGCGTCACCTCTTAGCCAACAATAATGTCCCCCCTTTTGTTCAATAAAAGCGGCCTAGATATGCAGTTGTTGAGTCTGGCTGACCTGAATCCCCTTGACTTAGTTCCCCTTGCGGACAAGATAGTCGCGTCTGTGCCGAGGGCCACTCGAACACTCTTCCTGCCGACATAGTATGGGCCTTTGCACACGACACCCCCTTTTGAGCAACGTTCCACACCAATCGAACGCCACATTAACTGGTTCCAAGTCATACAAAAGCAGCGGTTGTCCCCTTTCCCACCACACACGCTCTTCCAGGTCTGGCTTTGCCCTGCACATGTGTAACATTATTGGACGAGCGTCGTTCCCTTGTCTAGAGTCAGGAGATATTTAGTCGACTCCCTTGTTCTTGATTACGAGTATCCACTGCTAAGGTTTGTACCTTGTCTATTCTTCACTATTTGTTTAATAGTACCCTACTACACCAGTTGTTGTTAGCTTTGGGACTTAAGGTACACTTTATAACTGAATACAGAGTCAAAGGTGCGAGATACTCGAAACATACGTAGTTAGATTGTCCCATATTCCCCACAGCTTTTCTCAACAAATAAACGTGCAAACGTTTCCGCCTGCGATGGTTGAACGGAACGTTGATTCTGAGTCCCTGTTTCGTTGGTTTCGTTTCTAACTTCAAAATTCCCATTGGGGACTGCACCTGTCAGAGCGCTGACCCAATGTAATTGGACCTGGAATACGTTAGCATGTTGAGGGTACAGAGGAGATAGTAAGTTAACAAGTTTTCTTAGAAGACAATACTTACCTCTAGTTTGAATGCAAGGCCGAGGAAGGGGCTGTTTGAATCACGCGACGAGTCTAGAAGCACTTTCTGAACCTTCCTAAATGGAAAGGTAAACAAAATGGGAAGAAGGGTAAAACAGATGAAAAAGATTTAAATCCAGCTTTCTTGCTGTTAAAAACAAGCTAGGGGAAAGAAGGGTAAAACAGATGAAAAAGATTTAAATCCAGCTTTCTTGCTGTTAAAAACAAGCTAGGGGAAGATAAGGACTAAAGAGACACTAGGAGTCGAAATAAATAAGACTTTGACAAAACTTTCTAATAGAAAGGCTCATACAGAATTTTGCTCGAATGAAGTGTTAAGAGTGATGATCAGCAAGGGACCTTCACTGCAGTAGTTTCGTACACGAGTCCTCTGCAGTTCCATTGAGAATATTTCCATTCACTAAAATTAGTTATGCACGGCAGGAACCCTTACTTCGGCCGGGCTTGACGTTTAAATCGATGCAATTATACCGCACGGGAAATGTTAACGAAAGCTTCATTCTTATAATATTTCTGTAGGGAAGTAAACTTTCTTGAACGATGGTATTTTAACACATGAGCTATTTTGATGCAAAAATGCTGAATTATTTGTGTGCATTTTGATAGGAACGCTCTTGTTTCAGAGGTGTTGACATTACATGGTATGTTTTTTTAAAGCAATTCCTTCTTGTGCCCAGCAAATATCGGAAAAACGCCCCGGTCACAGTGCATAATTTGTGAATGACACCGAGTGCTACTAGATTACGCAGGTAGTAGTCTGAGCACTTTTTT